ATTTGCTAGAGCATGCCCGAGAGAGACAGAGAGAGAGGGAGGAAGCACCCCTGCACAGGGCATTGTCACGCCACAATCCCTTCCCCTCCACTTCTCCATTCTGGTGGGAATCGGGGCACACATGCACATACATAGGCATTTCTCAAGCTGCCAGGGCCGGGATTCAAACCATGCAGTCATTCATGTAGGCTTGGGCTCCCTTAGCCACCAGAGCTGACCCCAAAGATAGTTTTAAAGTGTCAGCCTAGAGTTTCAACTCTAGTCTGTGAGTCTCCAAAGCCTTCACACCTTCCCCTCCACCCGAGGCCTCTAAAACATGTGGATGTGAGCAGGGCCTAGATCTCCCTGACATTCTGGCATGGGGCTTCCTGGGCTGTCCCTGGATCCCTGGACCCAGAGACCTTCAGGAGTAAAGTATGAAGTGAGAGGAACAAGGCCCGAGATCTGAGGTCACAGACAATGTCACAGAAAACAGGCAAATATTTAACTTTTGCAACAAATGACTTACACATACGCTCACAATTAGACTATACTCATGGTGATAGCAATGTTAATAACAGCTTCAATGTATGACTAGATGCCAAGCCCTGGACCTGGCACTTTAAGTCACTGTCCTTCACTGAAGAACAAGGGCAATAATGTCCCTCCCATCTCCTTGCTGTTTTCGAGATAATGCCTGGCACACACAGCTTCTCACTCCCTGGATGTTAGTCCCCTCCTGTCTCATCCTAATTTATTTTAAAAGGGCACAGGATTAAGGCAGAAGACTGAGCACCCCAGAAGGGAGCCTCAGACACTTTAAGGATGCTGAATGAAGGGAATAAAAACAGCTCTGTTCAAAAGCTCCCTGCCCGACTGGGCCAGAGAAACAGAAATTTCATAGCTACTTTAAATTTATGAGTTGTTGGGCGTTGGAAGGCAGGTGGGTCATAAACCTCAAACAAAAAGCCAAACAGAATCCTAATGAATAAAGACTATACAGTGAGTGCCCGCCCATTCCCCAGTGCCCCCAGGGAACCCCTGAGCACTGTTCCAGAACGTCTCGACAGGCCTGTCCTGTTCAAGGAACAGAGGCTGGGCTGGAGAATGCAGTCTGCAGGCCCAGGGCTTGCACCTGACAGGTTGGTGGAGAAGCAGCTCCAAAGCCGCATGGCTAGCTCCTCTTGGGCTGGCGAGAGGCACAGGGGAGGGGTGTCCTTGTCACCTGTAGCTGACACTGGGCAGACAGGATCTGAGCCTCCAACTCAGGGGAGAAGCCAGCCAGGTGCTCACATTGCTGCAGATAAAAGGGCTCCTGTCTGCCCTGGGAGTTTGTTCCCTCTCTCCCGCCCTTCCCTCCTGAGACATTCTGCTGGGTGCCAGTGCTGGGGATGCCACTGAGAACAAGACAGCTGTGGGTCCTCAGCTGGCAACAGCTCAGGCTGAGGTGTAAATACGCTCAGTTCGTTCTGAATGGAGCTGCTTCTTCTTCTTCTTCTTCTTCTTCTTCTTCTTCTTCTTCTTCTTCTTCTTCTTCTTCTTCTTTTTTTTTTTT